TGAAGCTGGGGGCAGGCGGGCACAGGCCGGGCTCCGCAGGGGTGAAGCTGGGGGCAGGCGGGCACAGGCCGGGCTCCGCAGGGGTGAAGCTGGGGGCAGGCGGGCACAGGCCGGGCTCTGCAGGGGTGAAGCTGGGGGCAGGCGGGCACAGGCCGGGCTCCGCAGGGGTGAAGCTGGGGGCAGGCGGGTACAGGCCAGGCTCCGCAGGGGTCAAGCTGGGGGCAGGCGGGCACAGGCCGGGCTCCGCAGGGGTCAAGCTGGGGGCAGGCGGGCACAGGCCGGGCTCTGCAGGGGTCAAGCTGGGGGCAGGCGGGCACAGGCCAGGCTCCGCAGGTCAGTGGGGGCAGGCGGGCACAGGCCGGGCTCCGCAGGGGTGAAGCTGGGGGCAGGCGGGCACAGGCCAGGCTCCGCAGGGGTGAAGCTGGGGGCAGGCGGGCACAGGCCGGGCTCCGCAGGGGTCAAGCTGGGGGCAGGCGGGCACAGGCTAGGCTCCGCAGGGGTGAAGCTGGGGGCAGGCGGGCACAGGCCGGGCTCCGCAGGGGTGAAGCTGGGGGCAGGCGGGCACAGGCCGGGCTCCGCAGGGGTGAAGCTGGGGCCTCGGGCCCCACATCGTGCTGTCTGATGCCATGGGTTGGATGGAGCATGCAGTAAGCTCTTTGACCGCTGAGGCAGGACGGCCTCATGTCCCCTAGGGGTCGCTGAACAGTTTGCCATCACAGAGGCCACTCTGAGCGCCTGGTCATCACTGGACGACGAGGAACTGCACCCTGAAAACAGCCCCCCGGATGCCCTCCAGCTCCAAGGTATAGCTCGGAACACCAGCGTGGGGTGGGCAAAGCAAAGGGGCTGAGTATCTGCCCCAGCCTCAGTTTCTTCTGTGAGATGGGTCCTGCGGATCATAGCCCTGTCTGGTGCCCCGAGCAGTGGCCCCGGAGGATTTGTCCTGGGGGCCTGACGATGCCAGAGCAGCCCTTGGCTTCCTTCAATCTCTGAACACTCCATCCTTCACCCTCTAACCCATGACCCTTGCTCCCCACTCCACGGCCTGCCCCCTCCTCCCATCCCCTTCTTGCCTTCAAAGCTGATCTATATGATACCCCCAAGAAGCAGTCCGTTGTCTCTACTAGGGAAGTAGAGGCATTGTGGGGTTCAGAAACTCGACCCAGCCTGGGCTTGGGGCTCATCACCAGGTGCAGCAGCCACCTGTCTAGAGCCCAGCGGTTCTGGGGGTGACCCTAGGGTCTTGAGTACTTTACCTCACTTGATTGTGCCTCCGACCGGAGGGGAGCAGTGCCAGAGGTCTGGGGGTCACATGTCCTTTGTCCCAATTCTCAGAGTACAGCCTGCTCTTCACTCCCCCACCCCCCTGCCATCGGGAGAAAATGTCTCAGAGAGGTTCAGTGACTTGCCAGGGAGTTGCACAGCTCAGCAGTGGTAAAACAGGACTCCGACCCCAGGCCCCCCATTTGGTTTTCCATTTCTCTCCCCCCTCCCCCCTTTATTTGGTTTTCCAGATCTGGAGAGCATCTACCTTCAAGACAGCCTGCTGAGTGGCCCCTCGCAGGACGACAGCCTCCTGGCCTTCTCCCCCGGCCTCTCCCCTCACAGCTGGCCCTCCCCTGAGGAGCCTCCCATGGCAGCTGCCGGCGCCCAGCCCCCCAGCCCGGCCCCACATCGACGGCGGCTGCCAGGGGGCCCGGGGCCCGAAGGGGGGACGCACCTGCAGGGCTCCCTACCCTCCATGGACAGCGGCTCCCTCTCAGAGGAGGAGGACGATGTGTTTTACAACTGAAGCCGGGCCCGGCCGGATCCCCTGCTCCTGGCAGAAGTCCAGCTGGACGGGGACCACCTTGGCTCTAGCAACCAGCATCATTAAACCCCTCAGAGACAGCATGGATTGGGTCATTACAGGGCTGAGGCTGGCAGCACTTGTGGGTCTCTCTGGGCCTCTGTGGAGCTTCGCCCCTGCGGTGGGAACCATAATTGCCCTTCTCCCCCTGGGGTTTCTGCCCTCCACCAGCTCAAGGACTCTCAGCTGGCCCCAGGGGGGAGCAGGGAACTGACAGCCAGGCCCCCAGGCAGACAACCAAGCAAGATGGGGAGATCTATTTGGAGTGGCACCCAGAGACCTGACCTTCCCCAGTCATACTCGCCCCGCTGGTGTTGTGGCTACCTCTTCTGGTAGCTGAGTGCAGTTCTCTGGCCCTTTTCACTCTCTGGAGGGACCATCTGTCCCCCACTTCCCATGTGACCCCCTGCTCCTCACACCCTCACCCCATTAATCCCCTCAAGGTTCTCTGGTGACATTAAAGTGGAGGATCTACCCTGTGTGACCTCGGCCTGGACTCCGGGGAGGGCGTGGACTGGGCAGAACCTCTGCAGGGAGGGAGGATTCGACCCCTAACCCACAAAGCCAAGAGAGACCCCATGAAGGACGCTCAGGGCCTGTGGAACCCCAAAGCAGCCAGCCACGGAACCCCATTCTATCAACCTTGTCACAGCCAAGGAGACGGGTGCTGGGGGCAGGAACTGTGCGGCAGGATCATGTGAGACGAGGTCAGACATCAGAAGGCCCACCTGTAGAACATTCCCCCCCCCGCCCCCCACAGCTCCCTGCCAGGGAGTGAGGACTGAGCTGCGGATGAAGGACCAGGTCTGCCTTGCCCTTGTGAGCACCCGGCGCAGCCTGCAGGCAGGCTAGGGATGAACAGCAGCTCTGGGCATCAGCTTTATTTTGCTCAGGAGCATCTGCCTGGGAACATGGGTGCCGGCACTTGGCGCTGACACGTACCAATCTCTTCATTCATGAATGGGGCCAGGCAGTGGGTATCCTCCATTTCTTCTCCAACTCCCACTCCTTGCTGCATCCAGGGTGGGGTTTGGCTTTCTAGGCAACAGCCGCTGGCCCCAGGATGGGACAGAAGGGCTAGAGAAGAGCTGCCAGCTCCCCTGTACAGTGGGGAGGGGCTGGGGCAGGTGATGACGGGTGGTGGCATCTAGGGAGAGGCAGGGGCCCTGTCCAGCCCCAGGCAGCTGCGCACCTGCTCTCACTGACCAGGCCGGCTCACTTGGGGGCTGGTGGGTTGGTCAGGGTGGAAATCGCTTTCTTTAACTGCAACAGAGAATAAAAGGGGTTGGGAGGAAGGATTCTGACTTTGGAGGCCCCCCTAGGGTGGATGTTGGGGTGGATGGTAGAGCCAGTGCCTCCCCATTGCATCATGGGGTCACTGAGCCCGGAGAGCAGAGGCTCCTAGGGGTCCCCAGACCCAGTGGTCACTCGGGTCCCAGCTGTGAGGTTCATCAGAGTCCTCAGAGGCTCTCAAGCTTAGGTTGGGAGAAGTCCCCCCACCTCCTCTGCCTCACCCTCCCTGAGAATCCCATACCTCCTCCCAGGTCACGGCGCCCACAGCTCTGCCCCGCGATGTCACATAGAGCAACTGCAGGTTCAACAGCTCAAACAGGTGGTGCGTCTGGAGGGTTCAGAGAGCATTCTGGACTCAGGGTCCCCCTGAGGCCCACTAACCCACCTCTCAGCCTGGTCTCCCCCCAATTCTCAGGAACTGGCCTGCAATGTGCAGAGTGACCACTAGGGGTGGCCAGAGTCCATGCAACAGCTGGGTGAGGCCCAGGGGCAGAAGATGCCATTCTCCACCATTACCCCCCACCATCATGGTGCCATCCCCTGGCAGTGAGGAGAGGCCCAGGCCCAAGTCCCCAGGCTGCTTGTGTCCCTGGCCCACATCGAGTGCCAGCTCTGCCCTGGGTGGTTGAGTCATTTGTTGAAGATCACACAGGGAGAATGTGGCAAACTTAAAATTGACCTCTGCCTACGTCTTCATGGGAAGCTTGGGTTTTTTGGTTTGTTTGTTAATGTTCCCCGCCTCCCCTCCCCCCGCCCCCTGTTTGTAAGGGCTTGAACTCAAGGCCTGAGCACTGTCCCTGAGCTATTTTTCTGAAGGTTAGTGCTCTACCACTTTGAATCACAGTTCTACTTCCAGTTTTGAGGTGGTGAATTGGAGATCGGAGTCTCATGGACTTTCCTGCCCAGGCTGGCTTCAAACCTCAATCCTCAGAGCTTCCTGAGTAGCTAGGATTACAGGCATGAGTTACCAGCTTTTAACCAGTGTCTGCACCTGAGTGCTGTCTCCCATACTCGCCCACTTCCCTCATGAGGGGTGAGGGGTGCCCAGGCAGGAGCTGCCAGGCCCATGCAGATGAGGAAACCCTAGCGGGGAGCAGACATCACTTGAACAGGGGAGAAGCTGGAGCCTGACCCACCTACCGGCTTCCTCCCCCTCCTCTGGGGCCCTGTCTGCCTGCCTTCTCCCATCCTCCCCTTACCTGGTGCAGGGAGGTCTCTGGGGACAGCTGTAGGGTCACTGGTTCCATGGGGCAGCCCCCAGCCAAGAGGTCCTGGAGACAGCACTGGGGATGGGGGAGGGACAGTGGGATTCCAGACCCTGTTTCCAGAATGTCGTCTTATCTTCCCCTCCCAGCCCTGCCCACCACCCTACCCTGGCCCAGCCCCTCCCGGGCACTCACTCGCTCACTCACCTGTTGGCCTGCCACCCAGCAAGCTGACTCAGCATGGAGGGCCTGCACCAGCTGGGCCCTTCTCACAGTGCCCACCAGGATCTGAGACTCTAG